GGATGGATGGATGGATGGATGGATGGGACTCTTGCTGGGATGTTCAGAGGCTGCTGAGGGTCCCTGAGTCCCCTGGCTGGAGTTCTTGGATGATGCTGCCCCAGCCCAGGGTGACGGCGCTGTCTCTCCTCCCCTCTCTCAGGTGCTGGGCCCTGAATGAGAACATGGCTTACTGGTGGATCATCCGCATCCCCATCCTGCTTGCCTCCCTGGTAGGGACCAGCTGCCAGCCCCGGGTCTGTTTGCACAGCAGCAGCTCAGCCCCTGGCCCTGGGAAGCTTCCAGCAGAGGCCAGGAGGCAGAGCTGGCCTGCAAGGACCAGCCAAATGCACAAGGGGTTCAGCAGTTTGCTGACCCCTGGTTCTGGGGGTTCATGAAGGAAGCTGGGGTGCTGAAAGGGGCTGGGGGTGGCTCTGCTGTTTTATAGCTGGGATTTTGGGATGGCAGGAGGGGAAGGGCAGCAGCAGCCCCGGCAGCACAGGGGGTGCCATCTCCTGCTGGGTGTCACAGCCAGGGCGGGGGTCCTGTCTCCCCCTCCCAGATCAACCTGCTCATCTTCATGCGGATCCTCAAGGTGATCCTGGCCAAGCTCCGGGCCAACCAGAAGGGCTACGCCGACTACAAGCTGAGGTGGGCTGGGGCCAGTCTGGGCTAACGGGATAACGCCCCCTCCACGCCCCCTGCCCCTCCCCACGCCTCTCCTCCACCTCTTTCAACGACCACCCTATGATTAACTGGGAGTTTTGCTGTCCCCTTGCTGTCCCCCAGGCTGGCCAAAGCCACCCTGACCCTCATCCCCCTCTTTGGGATCCACGAGGTCGTTTTCATCTTCGCCACAGACGAGCAAACCACGGGCATCCTGCGCTACGTCAAGGTGTTCTTCACCCTCTTCCTCAACTCCTTCCAGGTGAGGGGGGAGTGAAACAAATCCTTGCTCTGGGCACACCACGGAGCAGAGGTCAGGGGCTCCCTCTCTGGGCTTGTTCTGTGGTGCTTCCATGGAAGGGCAGCACTGCCCCTGTCCTTGAGGGCGTGCTGCTGCCTCCTGTGCTCTCTGGGGACCCCAGCCCTAAAAACACCCAGGAGTGGCCTGGGGGGAGCCAAAGCCCATCCCAGCCGCAGGAGAGGGACAGCAGGGAGGGGGCTCACTGCTGGCTCTCCCTGCAGGGCTTCCTGGTGGCTGTGCTCTACTGCTTTGCCAACAAGGAGGTAACATCCCCAGCCCTGTCCTTGTACCTGTCCCTGTCTCTGCCATAGCACCTGCCTGGCTTCCCCACCCCACCCCGTGCCTGCAGGGAGGGCACAGCCATGGATAAGCCCCTTCTCCCTCCCCTCCATGGCAGGTGAAGTCTGAGATGAAGAAGAAGTGGCAGCTCTGGAAGCTCGACCACCCGGTGCTCTGCTGTGCCCAGTGAGGGGGTGACCAGCCAGGGCAGAGGGGCTGCTGGCCACGATGGCCACAGGGCCTGGCTGCAGGAAGCTGTGCATCCTGCACCCAGGATGGCCAGGCTGGCATGGGTGTCTGGCTGTGCCACACTGGAGCTGCTGGAAGGGACATCCCTGCTGTGACCCAAGGGGAGGTGGCACCTCTGGCTCTTAGCAGGCACTGCTGTGTGGGCAGCCCTGCTGCTTCTCCCCGTGCCTGGCAGCCTCTCCCAGGACACCTCCCACACACAGGGAGCCCCTGGACACCCACACCCCCCTGGGC